TTATGGTTTCGAGAGCTTTTGTTGGGGTTGACCTCAGCGCCCCCGTAATGCAGAGCAGTGCCTGCCGCTGGGTTCTTTCCATAAGCTTATTGTACGTCTTCTTTTCTGTCGCTTGCCACCACACTAAGACTCCGTACAGCAGAGTCGGTCGCACCACCGAGATGTAGATCCAGTGCATTAGAGCAGGTGACAGGCCCCATGTGCTGCTAAGCATATTCTTGGATGCGTATAGCGCAATGGTGGCCTTCTTCACCCTTTCCACTACATTGGGCCTCCATGCCAGCTTGCTATCCAGTACTATGCCGAGGTATTTGACTTGTGCTTTCGGGGTCAGCCTGGTTTTATCAATTTTCGGGGGGATCCATGCCGGTACCTTGTATCTCTTGGTAAAGAGGATGAGGTCCGTCTTGTCCGCGTTGATACTGAGTCCTACTTTTCCTGCCCACTCACATATCTCCCTGAGTGTTGATTCCATTATGGAGCTGAGGGTCGATGGACATACTCCGGTAATAATTATGCTTATGTCATCTGCATAGGCTGTTATTTTTGGGGCTCTCCCTTCGCACCCGTCTGCAACTTAGAAGGTTCTTTATCCAGAGGTTGATTGCGGGATGTGTGTTGGTCGCTTCTAGGCGGGCCATAATAGCGTTCGTAGTGACGTTGTTGAATGCTCCGGATATGTCTACGAACACTCCTAGAGCATACTTTTTACTATGGAGGGCTCTCTCGATGGTGGCTACTAGCGAGTGCAGTGCCGTCTCTACCGATTTCCCTTTGGTGTAGGCATGCTGGTTGGTTGACATCAGTCTCCCTACATCATTCCTGATGTGTAGATCCAGCAGCTTTTCTAATGTTTTGAGTAGAAAGGAGGTAAGGCTTATCGGTCTATAATCCTTGGGGCTCATATGGCTGCACTTTCCTGCCTTTGGAAGGAAGACAATCCTCGAGGTCCTCCATTGGATAGGGCTATAGCCTGTGCTCAGGCAAGCTGAGTATATTGCAGAGAGCCATGGGGTGATCACGTCTTTGGTCGCCTGTAGCATGGCTGGGAATATACCGTCTCGTCCAGGTGCTTTTGTACCCGCAATGGAGTCTATAGCCCAGTGGATTCTCTTAGACGATATGAGATCTGTTCTAGGGTGCTGTTCCTCAGTTGCTAGGTCCTGATGCTCTGTAGCGTCAGCCACCTCGGTGCATCCTGGGAAGTGGGCTTCCATTAGTGCTGTTAGGGATTCTTCGCTGCCCTCGATCCACTGTCCATCATTTCGTTTCAGCTGACTCTGTATGGCGGGTTGCTTTGATAGCAACTTCCGGAGTCTGGCCGTTTCTGGGACTTTCTCGATATTGGAGCAGAAGTTCCTCCACGAGTTTCATTGTGCCCTGCGTATTTCCTTCTTGTACTCCCTGAGTAGGATTTTGTATTCCTCATTGATTATCTCCTCGTTCGCCTGTTTGGCGATTTTGAAGAATTCTTTGAGGTTGTTTCTTTGAAGCGATAAGTCCCGGTTCCACCAGAGTGGTTTGGTCCTCTTTTTCGTTCTCGAGGGTGGGCATGATGCGTGGTACGCATCCAGTAGTTCCTTGGACAGGGTCTCTAGGGACGTTTCTATGTCTTCCGGAGATTTCACTGTGCCCGGGCGAGTCGCAAGCTTCGAAGTAACTGTTTTTTTAAACTTTTCCCAGTTTGTGTTCCGGGGGTTTCTATAAACAGTTATCTTCGGAGAGTGTTTAAATTCGCACTTGAATTGAATGTACTTGTGGTCTGAGAAGGATGGTCTTTCAAGGACTCTCCAGCCAGATACCAAAGTACTCTTTCCCGTTACGAGTGTTAGATCTAGTACGTTGGACGAGGTGGGACCTACGAAGGTGTGTTCCTCCCCTACGTTTGCTACATCTAGGTTAGTTGATAATATGAAGTTCCCCACACGCTATGGTGGGCATTGGTGTCCGTACCAACCAGAAGTTGCTGGTCTTTCGGGCTGGCATCCGCCACCAGACTCTTTAGCTCTTCCGGTGGAGCTGGCCTGTCGTGTGCCATATAGCAGGAAGCTACCATTAGGTGCTTTTCCTCGCTTTCTAGCATCACAGCAGTCAGGTCATCAGTGCTGTAATGAGACAAAAGGTAAGCATGGATGCCCTTTCGTACGAGTACGGCGGTTCTGGTCCTGCTTACCGATGGTGAGTGTAAAAGGTTGTAGTTAGAGGACTTTAGTCCGGCCACAGCGTTGCCAGAGGCAATCCATGGCTCCTGGACCAAAGCTATGTCGATGGGCCCTTGCTCCATGGCGATGAGGAGCTCCGTCGACGCGAGCTTGCTTTTATGTAGGTTGAGCTGCAGCACCCTCACTGACATGGGAGGCTGGCTCAACTACGCTCGACGGGTTGACTATTATTGTCAGGTCCCCGTCCTCCTCCTCTTCGGAGTCGTCCTGCGCCATACCCTGAGCGGCCTCCACGATGGACTCCAGACCGAGGTCCTTTTCCACCTCGCCTGCCTGCAGGGTGTGCGTGTCCTTGTCTTCGGGGTGGCGCTTTTTGAGGCGGAGGTATACGCTACCCATGCCCCACGCCATCTTCCCGAATCTGGGGTACAGCAGGTCCTCTGCCTCCTTGCTGATTTGGAGGATCGCAGTCTGGGCCCCGTTGGGTAGTGGGCTCCCAATGTGCAAGATCCTCCAGTTCGCCGTTGGCACGTCTGGGTTCTGCCGCTGTAGCAGCCTCAGCGCACGGTCTCCTTGGATTGCGATGGGGAAGAGTACCTTCGCCTTTGGTATGGACGGGATTAGCTCCCTGTCCACAACCTCCAGTCTGGCCCCCTCCCACATCGCCTCCATTTGGCAGACCGTTTGCGTCAACCACTTGAGTGTGGGGTCGTTCAAACATTTCAGTATTTTGACCCCGTTAAGCCACCCAGCACCATCGAACGTGGGCATGGGGGCTGTTGGGTCCTCCTCCATTCTTCCGAATAGCGACTCTACTAGCTGCGCGTGCACCATCTTCCACCGCGCCTCCGTCATCTTGCCATTCTCATCGCTCCGGTCAATGAGTGCCACGATCAGGTGTCGTTTGGTCACCTCATTGACCTTCGCCTTGGGTTTGGGCTTCTTTGCCGTTTTGGGTGGAGGTCCCACCACCTTGGGCCCGCATTGCCGCTTGCTCGCCGGAGTGTCCTTACTGGCGCCCTCGGTCGAGCGTTGCCTTTTGGTGACGAGAATCTCCTCCACCTTGTTAGCAAATTCCCCCTTCGTCGCTTTCATTTGCGGCATTTGTGCAAAGTGTAAGCGGCCCTCCTCTACCTTCTGCTCGTCCCAGGCTAGCTTGGACTTCTCCTCTTGGGAGATGTCTTCTCTGCCTTGGAGCCGGCTTCGGATTTTGAGCGCCGCCTTATATTGGGCCTTAGCCTTCATCCCCTCCCTAGAACGCTTCGGCCCTTCCCTATGCAGGGAGCTGGAACCTGGTTCAGGCGAGCAGAGATGGCTATCTTCCTCCGTCTTGCTGACCGAGAGCACGCTCTCCAGGTCCGAGTCTGTCTCGACTAAGGCACCTGTGCGGCTCAGCTTGGAGTGAGTCCGTTTTGTGGCAGTAGCATTGCAACTGACATGACCTGCTCCCGCCATATCAGAGGTGTGACCGCTGGCGACACGCAGAGAGGATTGCTCCTCCCCGTGCCCGCCGGTGGTAGCAGTCACGCTTTCCACCGACGTTTGGGTTGACATCCCAACCCGTGTTTGACCGTCTGTCCGCTCCATACTAGGCCCGAAGGTCCATACGTAGTTGATGTTTATCGGGGGAACCACCCCCTAGCGTAAGGCAGTCGAATGAAAATACATTATATGGATATAACACTACTCGACACGAGTTTTCCTCATGGAACAAAACGAACGTTTTCTTAAAGCTTTAGGGCTTAGAAATGGTGTGATGATATTTTTTTTTTTTTTTTGGCAGAACTTTTTTTGAAGAATTTTTGAATTCTGGTTTTTTTTTAAAACTTTTTTCAGAGTTAGCGCTTTTTTCACGTAACTCTAGTATCTTACGTCTGGTTCTCAAGAACTTTGCTATTTTGAAAAGATAATTAAAACAGCTAGAAGTTAATTTTAAACACTTTGTGATTTGAGCTTAGCGTCTGGGAAATATAAAGCATTGAAATGCAAAAATTATGATTTTTTTGCGGTATTTTTAACGAAGTTTTGACTTTGAAAACTTTTGACTTTGGGAAAAGTCGAAAAAAAAATAAAATCCAGTGACCTCTATTATTTTGTGTATAGGTGCATTTATTAGGCGTCGTTTAAAGTATTGCTTTTTAAAATCTATGGAGAAACTTCGGAGCTAAAATTCGCTAGCCAAACCTAAAAATTGAAAAAAATGAACAAAAAATACCTTTTGGAAGGTTGCGGGCCCAACTGGGAGCAAAGCAAACGAAAAAGGGTAGTACATTTGGTACCTGAATTAAAAAATTCTTCAAATTCTTTAAAAAATTTTAAAGTTACATATCTATCAGAAAAAGTCGGTTTGGATCATCGAGTTGGATTTTGTGGAGTAGTGTTATTATTTATTAATTTTAATTTATTATCAATTATATAAAAGGAGATAAAATCCTGCAGGATCGGGCTTATCCAATATTATAGTGTGCATTATTGTCGTCCAGCTCTACAGCGCCCACAAATGAGATATTTCTGCTTGCTTTAATACAACATTTGAAATTTTAACAAATTTCTGTTTGTAAACAAACACAAAAAAGTGCAATCGTAGAGCATGCAGTTTGACCACTTTGGTCAAACTAAGCACCGAGCGGAATATATAGCACTTTCGGTCGACGGAAAATTTAGCGCGTCTGAGTACTAGCCAGTATGAAGCTGTATTTTTAGAGTCATATTGTAATCGGTATTTAACAAAAAGTAAGCTTACCTCTGAAAATAATTTACTAAGATAATTTGAAAAAATTCAGTAGTAAATGCAGAACCGTAAAAACCAAATATCATAATATATTTTTTCTTTTTCAGAGCAACTGGACCGCATTGAAGAGGGAATGGATCAAATTAATGCTGATATGAGAGAAGCAGAAAAAAATTTGAGTGGAATGGAGAAGTGTTGCGGTATTTGTGTGCTACCGTGCAATAAGTTTGTATATGCATTCTATTTACTTTAATAATCAAAGCACTATATAACATTTATATTATGAATTTCTCTTCTAAGAAATGATAAAAGGTTGATTTTATTAAGCAAAGCGAGTCTTACAAAATATAAGTAGGCTTCAGGTCTGGTCTGCCTGGCTTCCGGTTGCGGTAGGACTTTGCTATTTTTCTTGCTGATCCATCATCGAATTGATCCAATGAATTGAAGTTCCATGTTTATTGGTGTTACAGTCAGGGGGTTGTATTCTGCATTGGGTATTCGTCCTGTAAGATACCTTATTTCAGGCTGGGATATTCATCAGCCTGTCCAGGGTTCCTCTACAAGAAATTTGTAGATCTGCTGGAACTTAAGGTTCGGGGCTGGCCTTGAATGACCGAAAGAGTGGTAGGAAAGGGGGAAATTGGATGACTCGACAACTTCTGTCGTTTTGTTCTGTTGATTATTTAATTATTTATTGGCTTGGCGGGTGTCGTTTACAATTTGGAACCTGCTTGTCTTGCCAGTTGTTCAGCGAGCTGGTGGACTGCCTCCTTCTTTGGCCGAGCTTGGGCTTTTTAAGCAGCTGGCCCCAAAGCTGCCTTTGGGGTGAGTTCCTGTTTGCTGATCCTGCCGTTTCCACGACCCGTACGTGGACCGTGGGGGTTCTGACCCCTAATGGGGTCCGAACATGGTTGATGGTCCGCGTGTCCTCTATTACTCGTTGGACGAAGGCTTCGTCGCCCTCGTGTTCTTCGCCTGAGGCAGCGAATGTGCGTTCCCTGGGTCGGTCGCTCCGCTGTTCCGACGTGTTGTGCTCCGTGTCCTCGTGGTGGTAGACCTCTTGGCCGTGTCGTGGATCTCGCTGGTGGTGAGTAGGCTTCGTTACCCTGGCTGGCGGGGACCAGAGGTTGGCCCGCGAGAATCGAGAGGGTCGCCGCGAGAAGAGCTTCCTGTTGACCGTATGTGACCTGGTCTGCTGAGTCGGCGTTGCTATTCTTCCCGGTTTAGGCGGGATGCAGGGCCGGCATGGCTTCCAGCGCTGGGTCAGCTTGGAAGTGTGCGGGTAAACCTCGCCGGTGTTGGTGCATCGTCAGCGTTGGTTCGGCGCCGTTGGTTGCTGTCGCCGGGGTGCTTGTTGGTGGTTCTTGTATTGTCGCTTCGATATCTGCTGTGCCGTTGGTCTCGGGTCGGCCGTGGAGTCTGCTTACGCAGAGTATTACGGCGACGATCCATGTGAGAAGGTGCGAAGTAGCGCTTTTGACTGTCAGCATTTCGATGTGCTTGAGGTTCTCCATGCTTAATTCCCTTAAGAAATGCACACTTAGCTGGTCGTGGTGCCCTGTGGCATTGACAGTTGTCATAGAAGCGACATTGCCTTCTTCCGGGATTCGCCCAGGGGATTCACGTTCCGGGTCCCGTTGAGAAAGATTCGGTTGGAGTGGGCCACGAGATAAGTGCCGGAGATGTTTTGGGTGGCGCATGCTTTGTCTATCACGGTTACTGTGGCTTCATTGATGATGATGGTGCCATGATCCACGATGGTGATTGCGTCCAGGTCACCGGGTAAGGTGCAATGGGCGACGGTCCCAGCCACCAATTGTTGGGCTCAGGGGGTCCGTGCTGTTCCTTGCAGAAGGTGGCGCCGATGGTGGTCTCGCATGCTCCCACGCTGATAGTTCCAAGATCTTGTGCTTGTGTTGTGCTTGTGCACGGGGAAGATCGTCACTTTCCTGCAGACCAGCTTGTGTTGTGGGAACTTGAATAGAAATGTCAGCAAGTCCGGGCTCTGGAACACACTAATGCTTGAAACTCCCAGTAGTTCCACTAGCCTGATATTGGTGAAATGTTGTTCGCTGAATTTTCGTATGTTTGCACCGTCTAGTAGCGTCAGTCTGATGATATTCATTTTGGCCAGCGTCAGGCCTAGAATCAGGTTTTGCAGATCGTTTATGATGATAAGGATTTTCGCTAAAATGATCTTTGTCAGTTGTTGATGTACCCGGTGCGTTCGTTGAAACGGTTTTCTACCTTGGAATTTATGCCTATCTGATTTGTCTCTCAATCAGCTGTTTTTCCTTGAACCGAATTTTTTCCCAGTCGTCAAAGTACGGGGTTCCAGCGACAACCTTTAGGGCGGCTCCGAGGATATTTAAGCTTCTTGCTCCTCTGTGGTGCGTCTTTAGTGCTCCCACGAGGGTCCTGATGTGTTCCAGGTCGGTGGAAAGGACAGCTGCAATTCGGCCTCACGGGAATAAGGCGGCGGACTCCTCAGCCTGAGTATGTATGCCTCGTAGGAGGTTACGTTGGTGATATGGTGTAGGTACCCATATCTTTCCCACAGGACGGCGTCTCCATCCACAACGGGCACGTAGTCGGTGTTAGTGTAGTAATTAATTTTTACTGCGGCCTGCGTGGTGGTGGTGAGGATCTGGAGCATCAGTAGTAGTGACATGGTGGCATGGTTTCCTTGGGTTGATAGTTGCCGATGTGATAGCTTGTTAACCTGCAAGTCGGTGGCTTGTGGAGATGTACTGGTTGATTATGATCGGGGTCTAGATATATATAGTGTATCTAATGATGTTGTTTTTGGGTCGTTATTTTTCCAGGGTGTTGCTGTTTCCCCATTTCTCGCCGTGGCTCCGTGCCTCAGCAGTTTCTTTCGCCCGTGGGGTGCGGAGTTTGCCTTCTAGGGGCCAGTGTTTTCACCTATTTTCGTGGTTCCGTGCTCAGCAGTTTCTGTCACGTGGCGTATGGTCTTCTTGGTTCGTTGTCCCGTGGGTCAGCCGATTGCTTGGTTCTGTCAGCAAGATTGCTGTAACTGGCCATGCCCTTCTTACCGCTCAGTTTTGCTTATGGGTCAGCGGTGGTGTTTGCTTCGTCTGCAGAATTTCCTGCGTCGTGGTCGTGGTATTCCTGTAAATCATTGATGTTTGTCTCCGGATGTCGATGTGTTGTAATTTTACAATATTCGCTGAGGTAAAACTTTTTACTTTATAGGGCCCGTCATATTTCGGGGCCAGTTTCGCAGCAAAGCGGTGGTGTTGGCCAGATGATGTTGTCGCATCAGTACCGAGGTGCCCAACGTGGGGTGCCATTGTCTTCGGCGGAGATTGTAGTGTCTTGCTTGCTCATGGCTGGCTCGCTGAATTTTATTCTTCACTATCGCGAACACTTCCTTGAGCCGTGTCGCTTTCCGGAGGTCGGTGTCTGGCGGGCTTCCTGTGCCGGGTGTGACTTCATCATACAGTGCTCCAGGTAAGCGGGGTTTTCTTTCGTACAGTAGGAAGGCTGGGCTAAATCCAGTAGTTTCCGAGACGCTGGAATTGACTGCGAGTGAAATCTCAGAAATCAGCTCGTCCCAAGTGTTCTGGCGCTCCCCTACAAATTGGGCAATCATGATTTTGACCGTTCGGTTGGCCCGTTCTGTTGGGTTTTCCTGGGGACAGTAGGGCGCGGTGTGCTGTAGCTCTATCGCTGCTGTTTGCAGCAACGTTTGGAATGACCGACTCGTAAATTGTGTGCCTTTGTCACACACAAATCGTTTCGGTAACCCGAAGTGGCAGAGTATCCCTTCGCGAAAAGCTAGTTCCAGTGGTGGCCTTTATAAGTGGCACCAGTTCTACCCATTTAGTAAAGGTGTCGTGGAATATAAGCAGCATGGTGTTTCTTCGATCGAGGCAGTGGTCCAACGAAGTCGTCACATAGTGTTGCGAATGGCTCTTCGGCTTTGCGAGAGAGCATCTTACTCACCGGCTTGCGTTGTTGGTCTTTGAACTTCTGGCAGCTTACGCAGCCATGGACGTATTTCCTCACGTCCCGGTAAAGCCCTGGCCAGTAGTATCGTTAACATACTCCGGTTATGGTTTTACGGATTCCTAGGTGGCCGGCTGTGGGTTGTTCAACCAATTTAGTGCAAGATGGTCGGTGATCACATCGAAACGGTATTCGTCGAGATAATAACGCAGTTTATGGATGGCCCAGATGACTGCCAGGCATTCCTTGTCTGTCGCGGAGTAGTTTTCTTCTGCCTGGTTTAGTCGTCGGCTCACGTATATTATGACTCGCTCCTTGCCTTCGATTTCCTGGATAAGAACTGCGCTCACCCCGAGGTTGCTCGCATATGTTTGCAGCGAGAATTTTACGCTGAAATCGGGACAAGCCAGAACGGGTGCGGTCGTGAGGAGTTCCTTAAGGAGCTCAAAAGCATACCCAGGGTTGATCCTTTTTGAGTAGGCGAGACATCGGTTGGACAACTGTCGCGAAGTTTGGTACAAATCTTCGGTACCAGGACGCTATCCCGATGCGTTGACAAAACTCCTTAAGGTTTGCGGGGGTCGGAGATCTTTGACGGCGGCGATTTTGTCGGGGTCGGTGTGGATACCCTCGTCTCTGAATTTATGGCCCAGATACTTGATTCGGGTTTGAAAGAACTCGCATTTTTCCGAATTTATTCGAAGGTTCGCTCTTCGTTGTCGAGACAAAACCACCTTTAGGTTGTGTAGGTGTTCGCTGAAATCTCGCCCCACGATGGCAATGTCGTCTAGGTACGCGAATGCATGTGGTTACAATTCTGCGCCAATTACGGTGTTGCCGGCGCCGAACGTAGTCCAAACGGCATCACTTTCCATTGGTAGAGGCCTCAGACTTGTACTGTGAAAGCTGTTGCTTCTCTACTTTCGTCGGGCATGGAAAACTACCAGTATCCATTCTTCAGATCGAGGGTGGTAATAAAACGTGCGTTTTGTAAGCGTTCCAAAATATAGTTGATCCGGGGCACCTTGTATGCGTCGGGGATGGAGTGCGTGTTGAGTTTCCGGTAATCGACGCACATGCGCCATTTCCCGTTCTTTTTACGGACGAGTACAATTGGGGCGCTGTGTGAGCTCCGGGAGGGCTCGATGAGCCCTTCAGAAATCAACTGATCAGATGTTCATCGATAATTCGCCCATGAGCCGGGTTCTTAGAATAGTACCGCTGTTTTATGGGCCGATTATCCCTCATGACAA